GTCATATTACTTGGTAACAGTATAACACAAGGTTTTGGATGTTATAATGAGACGACAAAGTTGTTTTACTTTTTTCATCTGTATTACTAATACAAGAGTCTAATATAGCAAGCTCATCTGAAATAATTCTTCAAATAATTTATTTTATTATTGTAATAATGAAATGATATTTTAAACACAAGTCATATATTGAGAGTTTTGAAGTTTAAGATCTCTTTGTTCTTTAAATTTTTTTTTGTGTTTGTTTATAATTTCGCATAAATTTAAATCATAATCAGAACTAGCCATACAACCTTTTCTTTGTTTATCTTGCTTACACGTTAAGAATAATTTAACTACTTCAATTGTCATCATTTCCATTGCGTTTGCATGTTATATGTCAAATAAATCATTGAATTTTTCAATAAAAACTTTTTATTATTCTAATGGCTCGTTGTAGTCNAACTACTTCAATTGTCATCATTTCCATTGCGTTTGCATGTTATATGTCAAATAAATCATTGAATTTTTCAATAAAAACTTTTTCATTATTCTAATGGCTCGTTGTAGTTCTTTTAGAACTTTTGTTCAAATTTCTAAATTCTGAGTATTATGACTCTAATTTTTCTATGCTCCTTTGTAATTTAAATTAGCTTAAATTGACATTATTATCTACCCAACAAATGAGATATACGTTGCCGAATCGCTATCACTTGTGTCTTTCACGCTTGATTTACGAAGTTCGAACCCCAAGCGTGAATAAATTTGTTGCTAAATAAAAAATTTCTAAAAAATGATTTTTAGATTTACCAGAATTTAACATTGGATTTTAACAATTGTATAAACATTTTATAGTACGTTCAATTAAGTAGATCTTTTGAATAACTTCTTGATTGTTTTTAGCTTTAATGTGAAGCTGAGAAAGTATTAATTTTACTACGATTTGTTTTTCCTTTTTTTTTTTTGTATCTGTTACCATTTTTTCTCCGATTTTCAAACATTTTCAAACCGATTTCTTTTAACGATACATCAAAAGATCACAAATCGTATATGATCGAAGACATTATTCTCAAAAATTTAAAATACTACTCTCGTTCCCCCTAAATGGGGATATCTTCAAAAAAAAATTACAAATTTAGTAAATGCTAAATTTTTCAATTTATACAAATATACGATGTTATTATATTTGTATATTTTTTTTTGTATCTGTGAACGCTCAATCTCAGCTCTCGCTGGACAGATTTTGATAAACAATATGTCAAAAGATCAGAAATCGTATCTAGTCAAAGATATTACCCTCAAATTTTGAAAAAAAATCCCTCATTCTCCGTAAACAGAGGAAATCTCCAAAAAAATTACAAATTTAAAAATCGCTAATTTTCGACATTATATCAATTTTTTAACTTATAACTGCCATACCTTTTTTAAAAATGACCGAATCGATATATATATATATATATTTTTTTATAGATATGTGAGATACTTACCTATCATTTGGAATATTTTTTTATAAATCTGACCCTTTATCTACCTACTCCTTTCATCTGACATACTTATTTTGTAAATCGGATCATGCCCTTTTATACAAAGGGGGTCAAAACTTTAAACATGCGTATTAAAACTAGGACATTTTTTAATTTTATTTTTTAAGTGTTCCGGAAATACTGACACTTTTATATATATATATATCTATTTATATTTGTCTCCGTGGTGAAAATGACTACCGTATTCAAAAATATGCTATTTTTGTGTTAAAATTCTGGGTTTTGTATTTTATTTTATTTTAAAATACCTGATAAGGGCAATACACAGATTTTCATAAATATTATATAAATAAAATTGATATAGTATAGAAAGTTAAACTTATTTCAAATTTTTTGCTTTTTTGAAGTCGAGAAAAATAACTTTGAAATTTGAACTAGCTTAAATAGCAATTTTTTTCAGCTGATGTAAGCGACGTACGGTTGCCGAGTCGGTAAAACTTGTGTTATACGAGCTTGGAGTACAAGGTTCCAAGCCGCATATATTAAGNGTTATACGAGCTTGGAGTACAAGGTTCCAACCCGCATATATTAAGGAATTTTTTGCATTTTTTCTTAATTCTTTTTAAGTTAGTATAAATTTTTAACTCGTTTGATTTTTATCTCATTTAGATTCAATAACTTCAATAAAGATCAAGGATCCCATCACTGTAATCGCCACTCGCGAGAAGAAATTGCTTATTCATATTAAAATTATTTTACTATATTTTAAGTTTTAGCTTCGATGCAAAGTTGAGAAGATATTTTTTTGTGACTATCATTTATTTTCTGTGTTCTAACTTCTAACTTCTACTTTTTTCAACGATACGTCAAATGATTACAATTAGTTAAAGATACTACCCTCAAAAATTGAAAAAAATTCTAATTTATCAATTAAACAGTTACTTATCCCATGTTCTCCATACAGACAATTAAAATCATTAATTTCTAATCTTTTCAAAGTATTTATTGACGAATGAAGTTTGATATGATAAGTTTCAACTACAAAATTAAATCATTTTACTTTGTAATTTAATAATTTTTTTACTCTATTTGTGTGTGCTTATACTAGACTATAATTTTCCAAATTTGATGGTAACATGTTGCTATATAAATCATTTTTAAAAAAAATGATTGTTAACTTCTCCTGAATTAACAATGGATTTTTACAATTATAATCAAAATTTATAATTCGCTCAATTGAGTAAATCTTTTTAACAACTTTGTTTTGATTGGTTCATTTAGTTAAAGCAAATCATTAAAATTAATTAAGTTCTGAATATTTCAATTGTAGAATCTTTATAACACCAAAAGTTATAAGGAAATTATTACTAATATTTCTATTTCAGTTATATATTTCGATATAAATGCAAAAAAATATTGAGCTACTTTGATAAATTTACTATAAATAGTAATTATAAAATTTCCTGACTGCCTATTAATCTTAACGATACAATTTTTTTAATTCTCATAAAATTTTCTATTTAATGATATCAATTTCAACTTGCAAATTGAGCTAAAAATTATGGTAAAATAAATTATTTTTTTTTTATATAAACATTCATAAAAATATACTTTAAACGATAAAAAAAATTGGTTAAATATGTCATTTTCCTTATTTTTAACATATTAATAATCAAAATCAGTATTTATTTAAAACAATTTTTTTTATTCTTAATTTTTTTTTTTTTTATGTAAAAACTATTTTTTAATAATATTAAAACTTAGAAGTGATAGAAAAAGTCTAATTGCACTTTTGAAAACATCGCGAAAAGTTGATTTAGAAAAGTATATTTTTGTTTTTGATGATAGTTCCTTGAAGTCCAGTGCATTCATTTTTAGTAACAAACAGTTTTTATTGATAATTATTGTATCAAGCCCTTTAAATTTTTATACACGTAAAAGCAAAGCAAAATATAACTTCTTTATTATTTTTATAATTTTTCCATTTAAATTACAATATTAAATTATTAAATATCAATTTCATACTAAATTTAAAAACTATAATTAGTATTTATTCATATATTATATTTTAAAATCAAAGAACTACTAATCAGGATATAATCAAAGAAATAAGAGTTAATGTTGCTTTTGGAATAATCCACCAATTTCTCTAAATGAAACACTATCTTACAAATTTGTATCGAAGCGTTTCTTATAATAGTGATTTTAATCACTGTCAGATATCATCTATACTTGTCCATCTATGCCTCGACTCTGTGCTACTTTTTTTTTTTTTATTTTTTCATTTGTGTCTGTTACCACATTTTCTCAGCTCTCACCTAACCGATTTCTTTCAACGATACATCAAAAGATCACAAACCGTATCTAGTCGAAGACATTACCCTCAAAAATTGAAAAAAAAATCCCTTGTTCCCCGTAAATGGGGGAAACCTCCAAAAAAATTACAAATTTAAAAATCGCTAATTTTCGAAATTCTTTCATTTTTTTTACTTAAAACTGCCATAACTTTTTCAAAAATAAACAAATCAATATTCATTTGGTATATTTTTTTTATAATTTTAACCCTTTACCAGCTCACAGAAGGCATTCAAAATGACAATTTTTTCACAAAAATTTAACTTTTGAAAGTGTTCCGGAATGTCTGACACTTTTATATATATCTTAAATTAAAGCTAATGTAATATACTTTATTATGGAAAAAAAAAAATTTCGGACTTTATTTTGTCTTCACGTTGAAAATGGCTACCGTATGCTATTTTTTTATGAAAATCCTCGATTTTATATTTTTAACTTTATTTATGCTATAACTTTTTGAAAAATGTATGGATCAATACAATTTTTTCACGAGAAGTATTATTTATATATATCTTTCATTCTATATATTTTTACTTAATCTGGATATTAATAAGGAAATAGCAGATAATGTATCTTTTAAACACTATTTAAGATTTGTATCGATACGTTTTTTTGATAGTCACTGTCAGATATCATTATACTTGATCCAACTATGCCACGTCACCACTTTGCCGTGACCTCTCTGTGCTGGGTTTTTTATGATATCTTCGTTAAAATTATGGTACTACATTATTAATATGTAAATAGTAATCCATAAAACGTATTATCAGGTTAGCTGATATAATTAGCTTTTTTTATATATTAATACTCGTTTTAACTTATTATTAATAATATTAAAAATTAGTGGTGATGGAAAAAATATAACTTCAGATTTGAAATCAGCGCGAAATATGAGATTAGAAAAGTATATTTTTATTTTTTATGAAAATGCCGCGACATTGCTGTGCTACTGTTTTTTTAAATCTAATTATACAATTATGGTAGAATGTGTTAAGTAAAACATTTAATAACGCTTTTTTATTACAACCTAAATTTAATAAACTTATGGTTAAATAGTTTCAAACAATTTTAATGTAATTTTTATGACCACTATTATAAACCACTAAATATTTAAAAATACTATTCACTTACAGGAAAAGCATAAAACATAAAAATTAATTTTCATTCAAAATTTTCGAAAAATATTTGTTATTAATATAATATAGTTTATTTCAAAAATTAATTGAATTAAAATATTGTCACAAACATTCAACTTTATTAAAAGTATAATAAAATAAAAATTAATATTATGTACTTATTTTATTTTTGTATAGGTCTTTTTAATATTGTTAGATGAAATACTACGATTAAATTTTTCCTGTGCCTCTAATGACTCAGAACCTAAAACAAAATTATTATTATAGTTTTCAGAATTTAATTAATTTTTTTATGTAATAGCTTGAAATAGTTCGTATTTAAATAAGTGTCCTATAAGTGAGAGACAATTTGTACATCTTAATTTAAACTTTAATATTAATCTTCAAAAAAATGTATACAATATTAAAATTTAATGAAGTATACAAATTAATTATATTTTTTTATTAAAATATCATTCTCATTAATTCACTAAGGAAATATGAAAAAGAATTGTCTATTACAAATAAACCCAACCTTTTTTGTAACTTTAATACAAGAAGATAATTTTTCAAATCGAAATTTCAATGGAATGTTATACATTTTTATTATTATTTTTGTAATTCGCCTTCAAGGTTACTCAGCTATGAGATTTTTAAATTAATTAAATAAGCAAATAATGTTGTCTCACCAAAAATTCTTGCCAATACTTCATTATCTAATTCTAAAATAAATCATTAAAAATAAACTTATTATTATGTATTTCTCTATTTTGTATAAGATTTAAAATCAAATAATATTGTCTCACCAACACAACTTGGGATATCATCTTCAATTATATCTATTGATTAAAAAATAAATTATTAAAAATATATTTATTTTTATGTATTTCTCTATTTTGTATAAGACTTAATCCAGTCGTAAGTACATTTATTAAAATATTATTTTAAAATATCTAAAATTTCAATAAATTACCATCAATATAGATATTATTCAAGGTATATTTACTTTATAATAGTTATACATTATTCAAAAAAAAAAAAAACCCAGCAAAGGGGGTCGCGGCACAGTGGTGCCGTGATATAGATGGATCAAGTATAATGATATCTGACAGTGATTAAAATCACTATCAAAATAAAACGCTTCGATGCAAATCTTTAGATAGTGTTTAATTTTAAAAATAGGTGGATTATTCCAAAAGCAACATGATCTGTTAGTTCGTTATTAATATCCTGATTCAGATAAAGTATATCGAATGAAAAAGGGATTATTAAAAATTATTATTTCTCATAAAAAAATTATGTTGATCCATACACTTTTCAATAAGTTATAGCATTATAAAGTAAAAAATAAAAAATTAAATTGAGAATTTTCACACAAAAATAGCATTTGGTAGCCAATTTCACCCTGAAGACAAAATAAATTTTTTTTTTTCATAATAAAGTACATTACATTAAATTTAATTTAAGATATATATAAAAGTGTCAGACCTTCCGGAACATTTTCTAAAGTTAATTTTTTGTAAAAAAGTTGTCATTTTAAATCCCCCCCTGTGGACAGTTAAAGGATCAGATATAACAAAAAAATATACCAAATGAAAGGTAATGGTATCATGCATCTATATAANTATGATTAATGATAAATAAATAAATAAAAAATAATTAATATGCTCAAATAGATAGAAATGCTGGCAGTGGTTTGGGTAATCAAGCATTCCAGACTATTTAATAAGTACAAGTTTTATTTTATGCACAGAAAACTAACCAATAGTAACCATTTATATACAAGTAAAATAAAGAAACATCTACCAGATTAGAGAACCTAAGATTAAAAATACAGGATTATAATTTTGAAGCAATTATGTAAAGAGCAAAAATAACCCATCTGATTTAATGTCTAGACATCCAACAACTAAAATAAAATATTGTCAAAATTGGAAAAAAAAAAAAAAAAAAAAAAAAAAAAAATACACATCTTAGTAAAACCAATACCTTCTCAGCTTCGCATCGAAGCTAAAATGATTTTAATATACCTAAATAATATACATCTTTATATATTTTATATAATACAATTATATGTTTCGTAACGTTTTTATATTATTTTTTTTTTTATAACTGCTATCTAGGTATGTCCCAAAAAAATAAAACATTAGTTAGTACCAGAAAATCTTATGCTAAACCCAACAAGTTTTTAGTTTGGTAGTTAAGGAAATACATTAGAAATTACCAAATTTATTTATTTTTAATAGGAACATACATATGTAAATAGCTTAAATAATAGAAAATAAACAAACAAATAAAATTATTATATTTAGGTTATATTTAGAATAACAAAAGTTAAAATCAAAATTTTCTTTCTCTATTCAGTGCGCTATATTAAGTTATATCAGAATATACAGTAACCAAAATGATAAAAATTGACATTTAATCACTCACCACCAGACTCTGAAAGCATAAACCCTCTCTGTCTTTTTTTCAAGCATTGGAATACACCATTAAAAAAATCTACAAAATTAACTAAGTATTATTGATTTGTCTAATGCAAAGTACATAGTATGGTTTTCTACACTTATTTTAATCTATAATTTATATTTACCAGGGTGAAACTCAAATGATTGTTTTTCTAAAATGTTGTCTATTTACAAAAAATATACATATAATATTTAAATATACTTTATGTCTTATTCAAAATACATAGTATAGTATTTTTAAAAATATTTTACTCTATGATTTAAACTTACCCATTTGATGACGCTCATATAATGGTTCTTCTGAATCTATTTAATATATAGATTATTTAGTAAGTAAGGAGAGATATTTTTATTTTTTATCATTGTTTGTAATAATTAACCTGTTTCATTACTTACTGTACTCTCTATATATATTTAAAAATATTGCATATCTTATTCTAAATATATAGTATTGTGTTTCCAAAAATATATTTATCTATAAATTATTAATGCTCACCAAAATTAACCTCTGTTGATAGTCTGTCTAAATTATCATCTATTTAAAAATATACAGACATAAATATACTAATTTAAAAATATTTAGACATAAGTCTTATGCAAAGTACGCAGTATAGATAAGATAGTAGTAATATAAAAATAGTTTAGTCTATGATTGATGCTTACCGTTGTAAACTTTATTTGGTGTTTCTTTTGATTTATCTATTTAAATTACATATATATATATATACTTTTTTATAAATATTATTCAGAAAAAAATATTTACAGAAATTTCAGACTATTTTGGGAATTAGGTACAATTTTATTGCACGTATTTAAATAATTATAATAACAGATAACTCTAATCAGTGGTACAAAGGTATATTTATTGTTTCCTTGTATAATAGAAATAAAACTGAAAGTATTTTAGTTCTAAAGTATGCCATTAAATTTCAGCAAATCTCCAAATCTCTATTAAACCATAATTTATTAGTATCCTCATATATCAAATTAACGATTAAATATTAATTAGTGATTTAGGTGACATGATATCACCCACAAACCTGTCTCAAAATGATCATAATTACACAAAAAATTCCAAAAAAGTCAGTTTGACTAAAATATCATTTTGTTATAATTATTTACCTTGAATATATCTATGTGGCACTAAAACAAATAATAATTAAGTTAATGATGTTATATATAATATGTAACAGATTATATATACAGAGTGGACCAGCTCTCACTGACAAATTTAACTTTTGGTCTAGTTAATTATTTATACTTTTTCAACAAACTATTATTTAAAATATTTACAGACATTAATATACTAATTTAAAAATATTTATACATAAGTCTTATGCAAAGTACGCAGTATAGAATAAGATAGCAGTAATATAAAAATATTTTAGTCCATGTTTGATGCTTACCGTTGTAAACTTTATTTGGTGTTTCTTTTGATTTATCTATTTAAATTATATATATAAATATACTTTTTTATAAATATTATTCAGAAAAAAATATTTACAGAAATTTCAGACTATTTTGGGAATAAGGTACAATTTTATTGCACGTATTTAAATAATTTTAAATAACAGATAATTCTAATCAGTGGTACAAAGGTATATTTATTGTTTCCTTTTATAATAGAAATAAAACTGAAAGTATTTTAGTTCTAAAGTATGCCATTAAATTTCAGCAAATCTCCAAATCTCTATTAAACCGTAATTTATTAGTATCCTCATATATCGAATTAACGATTAAATATTGATTAGTGATTTAGGGGATATGATATCGCCCACATACCTGTCTCAAAATGATCATAATTACACAAATATTTCCAAAAAAGTCAGTTTGACTAAAATATCATTTTGTTATAATTATTTACTCTGAATATATCTATGTGGTACAAAACAAATAATAAATAAGTTAATGATATTATGTATAATCTGTAACAGATTATATATATAGAGTGGACCAGCTCTCACTGACAAATTTAACTTTTGGTCTAGTTAATATTTTATACTTTTTCAACAAATTATTATTTAAAATATATACAGACATAAATATACTAATTTAAAAATATTTAGACATAAGTCTTATGCAAAGTACGCAGTATAGAATAAGATAGCAGTAATATAAAAATATTTTAGTCCATGTTTGATGCTTACCGTTGTAAACTTTATTTGGTGTTTCTTTTGATTTATCTATTTAAATTATATATATAAATATACTTTTTTATAAATATTATTCAGAAAAAAATATTTACAGAAATTTCAGACTATTTTGGGAATAAGGTACAATTTCATTGCACGTATTTAAATAATTTTAAATAACAGATAATTCTAATTAGTGGTACAAAGGTATATTTATTGTTTCCTTGTATAATAGAAATAAAACTGAAAGTATTTTAGTTCTAAAGTATGCCATTAAATTTCAGCAAATCTCCAAATCTCTATTAAACCGTAATTTATTAGTATCCTCATATATCGAATTAACGATTAAATATTAATTAGTGATTTAGGGGATATGATATCGCCCACATACCTGTCTCAAAATGATCATAATTACACAAATATTTCCAAAAAAGTCAGTTTGACTAAAATATCATTTTGTTATAATTATTTACCCTGAATATATCTATATGGCACTAAAACAAATAATAAATAAGTTAATGATATTATGTATAATCTGTAACAGATTATATATATAGAGTGGACCAGCTCTCACTGACAAATTTAACTTTTGGTCTAGTTAATATTTTATACTTTTTCAACAAATTATTATTTAAAATATATTCTAAAAAATGGCTATTTTGACATTTTTTTAAACATTTTTCTTTTATTAATAAAATTATTTCTTTTAATTTAATTATAAAAATGATATTAATTTCGTCATTATTATATCCCTCAAGTATATTAATTATTAAAAAAAAATTAACTGGATCAAAAGTTATTTAAGTTTCAGTAATTGCTGGGCCACTTTATGTAATTATGTATAAAAGTATGAACAATTAAAATTCGTCTGTTGTTGAGTTTCCATGGTAAACTTAGCTAACACTAATGGGTCGGGTGATCACGCACATTATTTAAGGATAAAAAGGAGTCGTAAGCGGGAACATTGGTAGAAACTTACAACTACTTAGTCGAATAACGACACAAAATTAAAATACAAATAAATTATTATATTTTCAAAAAATCAAGGATGTACATTATGTATAATATACATTCTTGATTTGGTTATTACTTATAAGACTACTTATTACTTAAAAATTTCCAATGTGAGCTAATGTTCACTTTTACTAAAAGATTTGGTGAACTTACAAATTTTATTTTGATGAATAGAAGCTGGAGCAATATGCAAAGATCAAATGGGAGTCCGTTTTGATGGACATTTAAGACGTAAATGCATATGCTAACGTTGATGGCAGTTTTCAACGAAAATATAATACTTCAACGTTAACACACAATAATGAGTGACGACATTACATATACCGTTAAATAACACTGCAACGACAATACGACTCAAACAAAAAATAAACGAACGATTACCTTTTTTTACTGGAACATTAAAAACTATTGGTTTTTAAGGCCCAAGATTTCCGTGTTAAAAAAAGTACGGAAGGGGGAAAGTGCAGTACCGTCAAGAGGGCCGAAACGCGAAAATTTTAATACACATGACCGCTTTTAATAATCGGTGTAAAACAGCGTAAGTTCAATTGCCGTCGCAAGGCGAACGTAAAAAGAGTCATACATCCATAAAAAGGTGGAGCCGTCATTGATCAAATGAATCTGAACATCATATACTGGTCATATGCAATGGCACAGCTGCGACGAAAATAAAACATGTTTAGACCGGAAGATGAATTGTTTTTTGTGACGACAGTGATGATAGCACAGACATGAAAATAATTTTTCATAAAGTCTGTGGTTATAGTTCGAACTGTGTACAATACTATTTTGAAGTTCATGGTAGTAGTTTTTCTTATTTTTTTAATACAGGTATGATGATGAGCATATGTGCACACTTTAAAAGGATGGTAACTTTATTGTTAAAAGACAACATACATATTTAACTAGCTTATAAAATAAAAATATTCTAATTATGAGAATAAGTGATTGATAATAACTAATTAAAAATGTATGTTATCAGCAAAAAAAATAAAGTTGGCACAATTATTAGATATAAGGAATGAATTGAAAAAGTTACTAACAACTTATAAATCAAAAAATAATTAATAGTAATAGGAAGAGAGGATATGAAAGAGTATATGGAGGGTATGGTTTTAGTAGGAAGAATGATGCTGGAGAAAGAATCCTGGATTTCGCAGTATCGTATGATCTTGCTGTGGTTAATACTTATTTTAGAAAGAGGGAAGAACATTAAATAACATATAAGAGTAGGAAGAATAGATCACAGATCGATTATTTTATGTAGAAGAGAGGGAGCGTAAAGCGAGTAAATGATTGTAAAGTTATACAAGGCGAGAGGGTAACTACACAACATAGACTGGTGGTAATGGAGTTGTGGCGTAACGGAAAGAGAATAAACAAAAATAGAAGAAACACAGGCGGAAAATCGAAAATCCGATGGTGGAAAATGAAAAAGAGTTTGTAAAGACGATAAAAAAGAGGATGGTGTGGAATGTCGAGAGAGACATAAATGATGCGTGGAATAGATTTGCTAGTTGTGTAAAGAATACTGCAAAGGAGATAGTTGATAAAAGTAGAAGTAGAATGTCAGGAAACAAGGAAACCTTGTGTTGGGATGAGGACGTTCAAGAAATCATAGAAAGTAAGAAAAAGCAATTCAAAACATTGCAGAAGAACAAAAGGAGAGAAGATTGGATGGAGTATAAACGCTTGTGCAAAGAAGCCAAGTTTGCAGTAAGTAAAGCAAAGTTAAAGAGGTATGATGAGTTGTATGATAGGCTAGAAACAAGGTAAGGCAAAAAATAAATTTATAGACTTGCTAAAGTAAGAGATAAAAGGACTAAAGATTATCATTATATAAGGTGTATAAAAAGTGATGATAATAGGGTACTCTCGAGTGATGATGATGTGAAAAAAACGTGGAAAGAGTATTTTGAAAAGTTACTGAATGAGGAGTATCCAAAAGAGACATTAGAAGATATCTCGTGGAATGAGAGACTAGTAGATTTCATTAGTGAGAAAGAGGTATCGGATGCTGCGGCATCAATGAAAAAGAGTAAAGCAGTGGGGCCAGATGAAGTACCAGTAGAAGTATGGAATCTATTAGGCGGTATTGGCATAAGATGATTGAATGAACTTTTGAATAAAATCTTATTAGAAGGGAAAATTCCAAATGAGAAAAGGAGTCCCGAGAAGGTACATTAATATAATAGAGGATATGTATGAAACCACTTGTACTAGGGTAAAAAGTGTGGGAGGAGTAACAGAAGGTTTTTGGGTAAGAGTAGGAATGCATCAAGATTCTGCTTTAAGCCGTTACTTATTCTCTATAGTGATGGATGAAATTACTAGAGAAATACAAGGAGAGGTGTCTTGTTGCATGTTGTTTGCTGACGATACAGTGTTAATAGGAGAATAAATTAATCAAAGGCTAAAAGTGTGGAGATCAGCTCTTGAAGAAAAGGGTTTAAGAATAAGTAGGAGTAAGACAGAGTATAGAGAGTACGAATTTGATAAAGGAGAACACGAGTTAGGCAAAATAAGAAGGTCACTGACAATAGGCGAGGACGTGATTGCAGAGGTGAAGAGTTTTAAGTATTTAGGATCAGTTGTTCAAATGAGCGGTGTTATTGACGAAGATGTAAGACACAGGATTAAGTGAGGGTAGTTGAAGTGGAGAGAAGCGTCTGTTGTCTTATGCGATAGAAGAATTCCTATGAGGCTGAAAGGTAAATTCTACAAGACTGTAGTGAGACTAGCTATGATGTATGGTTCAGAGTGTTGGGTGGTTGATAAGAAATTAGAGTAGAGAATAAATGCAGTAGAGATGAGAATGTTTAGTTGGATGAGTGGAGTGACTAGAGAAGATGAGAGAAAATAGACTTCGATGGTTTGGTCGTGTTATGAGAAAAGAAGAATTGGAAGACGCAAGAACAGATATAGAAATGAATGTCGAAGGAAGAAGAGGTAGAGGAAGACCAAAAAAGAGATGGAGAAATGTTATTGAATGCGATATGAGGACAGCTGAAGTGAGCGTAGAGGATGTGGGAGATCGTGTCGAGTGGAAGTTTAGGATAAGGGTGGCCGACCCCAAGTAGTTAGGATTAAGGCGAGGAAGAAAAAGAAGAATATATCATAAATATTTATACAGGTGATTTATTATATAATAATCAACCCCACTTTTTGTTTAAAAAATTATTATTTCATAATAATGATAAAATACATATTTGAGAGATATCAGACTTCCTTAAAACATTAAAATAATAGGAATAATAGGAATAAAACTGACAGTATTGTGGTTATAAAATAGGCCTATAAAAATGCAATCAAAAATTTTTTAAAAATGTATGTGAACTTCATCCAACGCACTGATTTTATGAAAAACATTCAGACTATTCAGTCTTTTTCCGAAACGTTTATTTATATATCTAAAAAATTCTAATATAAAAATCAAAGATATTTTAATATAAATCTTATGCAATCTACATAATATAGTATTTCTAAAATTATTTTACTATATAATTCATACTTACAACTCTTGTATAACTCAGCTGGTATTTCCTCTGATGATTTCCCTTTTGTTTTGCCTATATAAAATATATACACAAATATTTTTAAACAAATAAAAATAAGTAAAAATTTCTTAAAAGTTATTTACCAGTAGCTCTATTAAAAGAAGCACTCAATGTCACTAAAAGAATAATTAAATGAGTCAATATTATTAGTATATAACACTTCATTCTTTTTTTTATGTCTATTTTGTTCATTTATATAAAATAATTTACAAAATATTTTTAAAAAAATCTATTGTATTTGCACAATCTTCTAATAATATTCATTAATATGTATATACCATAATGTTCTCTAGATAAAATATCATAAATATTTGTAGAGTGGATTATAAAGTTGGCAATCTCCCTGTTTTTATTAATTAATGATTATTTCATACAAATGTATAAATAAATTTCATAAAATGTAATTTTTTTTTATAAACTATTGTAAATATTATGTTTATTGTAAAAAAAACTAACTCTTTAGGATAGATTTTAGAACTGTTATTAGATATTTGAACTATAACTTATTATTATTTTTTACTATTAAATGGAGAATGGTTTAAATAAAATTTCGATAGGTCAATAATGTCGTAATATGCTCAATGCTTTGCATTACGCATCTTACAATTATTAATGAAAAATGTATAATCTGTATTTTAAATAACTTGTAAACAAACAAATAATTTATCTGTCATAAAAAATACGATGTTCAACACAATTTCTTATTATTAATATATATATATGTCAATTTATCAATTGTTAAATATGTTATCTGAATATAATAATCATGTAATGTATAATTAATACAATAAACTAAAAAGATTACGAAAAGCGCTGACAACAATATCCCTGGATTGGGGGTACTATCATTTAACTATAAAAAGCACTGAAATCCTTTCAGTCGGAGAGAGTCAGGGAAAGACTCCAAAAGAAGGAGTGAAGACTCCAGAGAGAGAGAGTCAGGAAAAGACTCCAGAGAGACGAAAAAAAGAAGAAATGACAGCGACCAAGAGAGTTCGTTTTCTCCGAATTAAAATAAGAAAAAAAAGTAACAATTATCAGTCACAGCCCTGTGTTGTTGTCGACTGACTTTTATGCGTTTTATTTATATATGAAAAGAACTTGTTTTAATTATTTATCTTTTGATGAAGTGCTAATTAAATACTTTTAAACATATATAAACATATCGAGATATTTATCAAATCATTTTACAAGCAATTTACAAGAATAGAAGAAGTAAGTAATTTTATGTTATCCCAATTATTTTGAGTAAATAAGTTTAAGTAAAGGATGACAAAGCAATAGATCATTTATTAAATTAATATCTTAAAGTGTCAATTTTGACTGGTTGGTTAAAGAAATTATACATATTCACGTTATATGGTATTCGTGAACTAGCTCTGCCGTTTAGTTGCCTTAAAGATGTTTTAAAAAACCTAGCGTAATTTCTACTGTATAAATTAGGCTCTGGTATTCGTGACATAAACATTGTAACGAATCAAATGTAAAGTACATACTAATTTATAACTTAGACACTTTGACTTTTTTGACAGATAAAGACCATACATAAAGTATGGTAGTTTATTAGAAGGGCCGTGCTAAAAAACGCCAAAAAAATATAAATGTAGTTTTTTGTTTGGCGTAAGAAATATTTAATTTTAAAATAATTTTTTATATCAATCTATGTTATTGATTTTGTAAATACAAGATATTTTATACCCACTCTTTAAACTTAAATTTAAAGTGTAGACAAATGGTATTACACCGACTCAAATACACTAATTGGTCGGGGCACTCAGTATTTTCTCCTAAGTGGACACGACTGGGGATTTAAAATGACAACTTTTTCACAAATAATTAACTTTTTCAGCTTAACTTTTGAAAATGTTCTGGAAGGTCTGACACTTTTATATATATCTTAAATTGAAGCTTATGTAATATACTTTAATTTGAAAAAAAAAAAATTCGACCTCTGGACTTCGTGGTGATAATGGCTACCAAAAGCTACTTTTGTGTGAAAATTCTCGATTTTATAATTTACATTTTTAACTTTATTATGCTATAACTTTTTGAAAAATGTGTAGATCAATACAATTTTTTCATGAGAAGTAGTATTTATATACATCTTTTAGAACTGTTATTAGATATTTGAACTATAACTTATTATTAATTTTACTATTAAATGGAGAATGGTTTAAATAAAATTTCGATAGGTCAATAATCAATGTTGTATAAATACTTTTTGAGTTTAGTTATAGGTGAGCAGGGTTCAGAACGTCTGTACATTATAGTGAGAATAGAACATAAACACTACTTCGATCCCTCACCTTTTCTAAATCTATAAATGTAAATACCTCCAAAAGTAAAAATTGTTATCGAAAATTCAAAAATTTATTTAATTCTCCATTTAAAATAGTAAAAATAGTAATATAAGTAATATTAAGTTTCCATTTTATATTCGAAAATTATCTCTTAAATCTACACTTAGGTATATTTTTTCGTACATCAAACTTGATATTTACAAAACGTAAAAGATATTTAAGTTAATATGTATCTTGTATTTACGAAATGTTTTCTTAGTAACTTATAGTTACATATTATTATTAAATTAATATTATTTAATACTTTTAAAGTTCATTATCAGAGTATCAACAGTGATTTTCAATTAGAAACATTAGGGCGACCCTTAGCTATATTAGAGGTTTTTTTTTTTATTTCGATGTGAAGCTGAGAAGGTATTGGTTTTACTATGATGTGTTTTTTTTTTTTGTGTCTGTTACCACTTTTTCTCAGCTCTCACCGAACGGATTTCTTTAAACGATACGTCAAAAGATCACAAATCGTATCTAGTCAAAGACATTACCCTAAAAAATTGAAAAAATTTCCCTCGTTCCCCGTAAATGGGGGAAACCTCCAAAAAAATTACAAATTTAAAAATCGCTAATTTTCGAAATTTTTTCAATTTTTTTTATTAAAAACTGCCGTAACTTTTTCAAAAATATGAACGTATCAATATATTTTTTTTTATAGATGCTTGATGTCTTTATCATTTGGTATATTTTTTTGTAAATTTGACCCTTTATCTGCCCACAAGGGGGGATTTAAAATGACAACTTTTTCACAAAAAATTAACTTTTTCAACTTAACTTTTGAAAATGTTCCGGAAGGTCTGACACTTTTATATATATCTTAAATTAAAGCTAATGTAATGTACTTTTAATTGAAAAAAAAAAATTTGACCTCTGGACTTGTCTTTATGGTGAAAACGGCTACCGAATGCTATTTTTGTGTGAAAATTTTCGATTTTATTATTTATATTATATTTAACTTTATAATGCTATAACTTATTGAAAAGTTTATAATTCCACACAATTTTTTTATGAGAAATAATATTTTTTAATAAACC